AACCGATAAGAATTTAGACATAAGGAAAGCATTTATACTATAACTTTTTACTATACTACTTATATTATACTACTTATATTTATACTATAAAGAATGATCCAAAATTAGTGTAAAATGTTGAAATGGAAGGTTCCTGACATAATTTTAAACATTTTCCTTAGTGAAAAAGTTGTCCGAGGCGTGGCGAAGCCGAAGAGCTATTAGCAAGAAACTCCGACCAATCAGAGTGTTCGGTTGGCGCGAACTACGAATCGGGAGCGTTAGCCAGGGTTCGCAAAATTTTTCCTTCGGCCGAAAAGTGGGAGCGACGCGACCATGGTGGGGACTGGTACTTGATGGGGATATGCTAGGCATGGTCAGCATGGAGAATAGTAGTGGGGATCGAAATATGGGCGAAAAAGAGAGGAAGCGAGCCGTTTGGGAAAAATTATGAGATTCCTGATTCGGCGCTCGCGTCAACCGAGCGTTCTAATTGGTCGGGGTTTCTTGCTAATAACTCCTCAACCACGCCTCGGACAAAATTTTCGCTAAGGAAAATGTTGTTTAGAATCACGTCAGGAACCTCCCATTTCAATATCTGAGAGGAAATACCGCGACGGAAGACCCGTCCATAGCGAAAGGGTTAAAATCCCTTAAGTTAATAATGAATGACGAATGATTGACGAATATTCGAATGATAATTACCCGTTGCGGCGTGAAGGTAGACGACAGATCTCTGCGACCTTTGAGAATTCTGGCTCTGTTGGCTACTGTCGCCGGTCGTACTCTCACCGGAGGACAACGCACTCTCAGCCAGTCTCGGCGGTTTTCTAGGCGGCGACAAAATGCCCAACGTGTGCCGACTCGAATTCGTAACGTCACGCCCTGGACAGGCATGGTCGTCTCGTTTGTTTCTACAGAAATTGATAATTAATATAAATAAACGAACCATCCTAGATTAAATACACAATGGTCGGTATTCAGAGTTGTTGCTTATTCTTAAGATCGTTTTAAGCATTTGCTTAAGTCCCTGTTCCTTGTACAAGACAAGGACTGGAAATATGGGATAGACAGGGATAGCAAATTCTTGAGACGATCTTAAGAATAAGTAACGACTCTGAATACCGGCCATACTCTATCCTGTAGACTACAGCACTGGTTCCGCTGTCAAACGTAGGCCCTACGGAGACCCTACGTGACGTTAGTGTAGATAGACCTTAAAGTTATAGAGAAAAGTGTGTAAAAGCAGAGAATTCAGGGGTTCATGTTTGACACCGAATCGGCAGGCAGACTTGCCTGCTGTTTAGGATCCACTATCTGCTTCGAGGGCTTTCCCTATACTCGACCTACGTCACTCTTCACTCGCCTTGACGTCATGTCAACGGCACGTAGGGACTCCGTAGGTCATAGGACGTAGTTTTGACAGCGTAACCAGTGCTGCAGTCTTTAGGTCAGGGAAAAGCGTGTAAAAGCAGGGAGATCAGGGGCCTACGTTTGACACCGAATCTTCTTCCATTTTGTGGGTTTCATGCACCTTTTCAACGATTCTACGACAGCCTCCCTAGCTACTGATTCTCTTCTTTCAGCCGAGGCAAATGCATATTAATGAGAATTGATAATAAGTCCGTCTGTAAATTATGCGTTTCACGGTTTTAACCGCCACGAAGTTTACCGATTCCGCTCACCATTGGGTCATGTAATGAGTGCTGATGATGAAGACCGGTGAGGAAGTGCGGTTCGTCTCGGTGCTGTTGAGGCCAGGGTCGGTCCCGTTGGTCTCCATGCCTTCGGGTCAATTTCCACGCCTCCGCTGTCCGGGATCCCTTGAACTCTCGAACTCCGGGCCAGTCACCTGCGAAGCATCCTGAAAAAAAAAAACATGAACGATCGGCGGTCGTGACTGACGGAGTCGGCTCGACGAAAGGACGACTATTTTAAAAATGAAATCAGCCGGACGATCCGTCGATGCTCGAAACCCGTGGATTGGGTCGGTCCGTGAATCTCGGGTCCCGATAGGTCGTTTCGATCGATGTTTCCGAGACGAATGCTTACTTGAGAAATGTTTTAGCTCGAGAGAGAAACAGCTGATTAGCCTCTCGTAAAGTCCAGATTTCAAGTGAAATCCGCGATCAAAATATGAATCTCGTCGAGTCTCTTTGAAGGTGGGAGGAGATACTCGTCGTTGCATTGATATTCATTTATTTCGAGAACCATTCAGGGTCTTCTTTAGTTTTAATACTCGTTTAAAGGATGATATCTGGGTCTCGGGTCCGCCGGTTCCATTAGATTTTTGTACAAGATACAACCCCAACAGCACTCAATATTGCAAAAATATTGTACTGCAAGAGCGGAATATTTCAAACAATGTTGCTGCAGGGTTGCCACAAGTGAATTTCTGAAAGTACAGATGTTATTTCTATAATTCCTTTACGCTATAATTGTAATTACGATTATGATCTTGTTCATGATTAATTATATTATTTTT